CTCAGGTAGCGTAAACACTGGCTTAACCTATCTCGTACCCCAATGGATTTTGCGGTGAGCCAGTGACGACATTGCTCATTGCGAGTAGTTAGAGATCATTAGGGAGAGCGAGACATTAATGTGAGCGAGGTGCGACAGACCACCCACTAGTTGCTCCTCACTTAGCCAGTATTTTATTCCAGAGCCTAAGCCACGAATTCTCTGCCCTTCTACAGTTCATAAATGCCATGGTTCAGTGCGACCATTTAACTTCAGGAAACCTAGGACCGGAAGGAATGCGCGAAAAATGGTTTAATAGAGCTACATATTTCAAGAGTCAATTTTTTACTCACCATCTTTGTCCGTTAACCTTGACGGTGGCATTTGTGAAATGTCAAAGTACGGTCGCGCTGTAATGGAATTGTTTGTAGAGCTGACATTTGAATAAAGATGAATGAAGAAAATGTTCCGTTAAAAACCGTACACGGAAAACCACGAACCACAAAGAACGAACATTTCGGGATCATTCATGCAAACAAACCGATGCCATGTACATAAAACATGAAACGTGCTGTTAAAACAAACTTTTGTACTTTACTATAGTCAATCAATAACATCATCTTGAGTTCATCTAGAATAGTATTACTTTTATTTATTGAATAGCAGATAAAAGGATAAAGTCTTCGCCGTTGATCAATCCCTTTGTGGGATGCGGCACGCATTCTACTTCCATTCAGAATCGTAGTGGGTTATTGAATGCGATGTGGCCTATACAATGACTTGCCGGAGCCAGTTGACGTAAAAATTAGTGTTCATGTAGTCCCAGGCCAATCTGATACCAAATCACCGTCCACGGGGGTAGAAGGCTCGGTTGCCCTGGGTGGGAGCCGAACTGGAATTCGATCTCCAGAGGGCGTCCGTCGTGAGCAGGCCACTTGCCACTAGACCACCCCCACCTCTGAAAGCAGATAAAGTAAGTATAACAAGGACTTAAGGGTTAATGAGCTTGGCTACGCCATAAGCTTTGCGAAGGACTGTTGTCGGATGTTCTGGGATCCCGAAAAGTTCAAAGTTTCCCCAGGACCGTCCAATAGTGTGCCACTCAAGATAAGGATAAGGGAATAATTATCAAAGTTTCTGGGAAAAACCGCACTTTGCGAGTCGCTGCGACGCGCGCGGCAACGCACGTGAAAGCGCTGGCAATTTCGGTCTTTTTCGCATATTCTGATCTAATTCAGGTTATTATACAACCCAATTTTACCCAATACAGATCATTC